TGTGCCTTGTACAGAACCTCTCATAAGTTGGAATACAATAACTTTTGCATAGATTATGGTAGAGACATTTTTCTTTTTTCCTATGATTACAGACATGTGCAGGAACCATCAAAATTAATTACAGCAAGCTAGACCACACAGAACCTAAAAGGTACACTTTCAAATTTGAGTTTATAAAAAAACAAAACACAAAAAGCACTCCTTTTCACAGACAACATATACAGTTATTTTAAACACTTTCAATAGTGTTTTATGAAAATTCAAAGGGTTTTCTTTAAAATGATACCAAATTTTTGCACCTCTGCATGTGAATTTAGGAAGCTTTTAAATTTGGGTAGGCAAAATCCAGGTGGAAATCCACACAAACTCCACACAGAAATGCCAACTAAGCCATAGCAAAAAACATTTTTAAGTATATTTAAAGTAGTCTATATTCTACACTAAACTATATAATCATATTTAAACCATTAAAAGACAAACGAAAGCATTACTGGAGATGTATTTTAAAATCACAGCTGGAACACATTTCTTCTTGTGATGATAATGTGTTTTTTATAATCATAATATAATAATAGTTTTATTCATAAAAATAGAAATATAAACTGTATAATATAATTGTACTGAATTGAAAATGACATTGAACTACATTTAGTTCACACAGATTATAATATTACTGTAAGTGTATTACTTCCCTAGTAAGTACTCTAATTACAAGTAGTTAAAAGCTAAACGTACTGTTAGAAGTGTTTCGAGGGTTTACACATTATGGCTTTCACATTTGAAATTGTTAACCCTGGGTTATTCTAAACCACGGATAAATGGAATCCTGGGTTATCTGCAATCCCGTTTCACATTGCTAATGCTATACCTGGGCTTGACGAATACTCCTGTGTTTCACACTGTACATTCCTTCACCCTGGGTCAACATTGTTGCTGATTGGACAACAACAGACAATCTTTTTACACTGCATTTCCACATTTTTAAGTCAGTTATAAAAAAAATATTGCTGTGTGGGTCTTTAGCTGTTTTAAATTAGCTGTTTAGTAATATGCCCTGGGTATTCGTTGACATTTGCCACAACACACTCCTACTTTAACTTCGATTTTGGTAATTTTGCATTTACCGTGATAAAAATTTCTTTGCCTTGACATCACTACTCTGCACCATTTTCCCCATTAAAATACAACATCATTTGGTTGTACAAATGGTCTCAGCAAAGTCTGAAAAAATAAAAGCTTAATAAAAAAGATAAATTCGTTTTTAAACTGACAGCAATGTAAGTAGCAATTTCAGTACAGTAGAATAAATTATATTTAGCTTATGCAAATAGATATGTCTGCTTGAAAGAATAGGCCTAATGTTACACCAAAACTGTTAAATCTGAGCTTGTATTGTTTAAACCTTAATATTATTCATGCCTATAAGTGTTTTCTCCAGGAATATATAATAAGCTTTGAAAATTGTAGAGATTATATTTAGGGCTGTCAAAATTAGCGCATTAACGCACATGATTCATTTTAAATATTAAAAAGGTAAAAAATAAAAAATAAATAATGCAAAAAGTTGCAGTTTTTTAATTTCCTGTTGTGGCCGACGTGTGTTCAGGGCAGACGCATCCATAGAGGCGACCAAGGTGGCCGCCTTGGGCAGCAGAATAGTGAACAAACCCCCTGGTCCTCACTTTCATCCGCTACACCTACCCCCTCCCTCAGAATCCTCACTTTCATCCGGGAGCCGGTCACTTTTCCACCGTTATTCACTTCTGGGTTTAGGGCGGAGTGATTGCAGTTTGCCTAGAGCGCCAGTACAGCTTTCTCCGGCCCTGCGTGTGTTTAACGTGCAAAGAATTTTGGATAAGACCAATGATGTGCTTTTAGAAGGAAAGTTTCAGTATAAAACAATTAATGTTGTATCACCAGGCTATCCTGCGTTTCCTCCAAAGTTTCATGCAATTTTGGGTGTTTGATTTTTAATCTTTACTCGCGTGATACTTTTAAAGTAATCAAAAATCGCTGCTTACATGGTAGACTCTTAATCAATATAATCTTAATCATAAAAGCAGAGTAATGGTGTCCATATAAATGTCCTCAATGAAAGTGCCAAATAAAGTCGCATGCTGTCAAAGTCAACCCATTTCTCTGCTTCCATGAGCCCTCAAATGTTTCATTAAGTTTGACATGTTTCCCCTCTTTACGTAACTTTTGTAAAAGATCTGCTTCACGCTGCTGGGTCAGAATTCTTGCTTGTAAAATACAGCCAGACATTAGAATGCTTAGTTTAAGCAAATTTGATGATCGTGATCATGCGCTTTGATGAATCTCAAGGGATCCCTCGCTTACCGGGTGCACTGTACTGCACAAATTGTCTATGAGTTTGTAGTCCACTTAGAATCCAACATGGAAATAATTTTTGTTTGTTATTGGCATTGATTGTTTTTAATTTAAATGGCACTTACAGTACATGCCTGTGTTTTTATTTCTGTAATAAATAAAGCATTTTGTGATTAATAATGATTAATTACATTAATTATGTTTAGTGATTATTCATAATTAATTACAAAAAAGTATTAATTACGTTAATTGTTTTAATCATTTAACAGCCCTAATTATATTATAATTAAACTAAACTGGTTAGATTTTAGTTAACTAAATCTACAGTAGATAAATTCTGATTTTACTCTGACAGGTTTTGAGAAATCGACAACAATTCACAGACAAATCACCGCTCATTCACGTTAATACCAATCACTCAGTGTGAACTATCAAATATGCAATCTGAGAGAATCGCTGATGAGTCGCTGACATCCGTCAGATATTTAACATGCTAAATATCTGGACCTGTCTGCGATTCAAAGTCATGCTGTGTGAAAAGTGTTCTGAGTGAAAATAACATCATCGATTACCTACAGCCAACAAGAGAGCAGCATCCAGACAAGGGGGAAGTTAAGGGAGGAGTTATGAAGGTAAAGAGCACAATATCAACAAGCATGGCTTCGGTTATAAAAAGGCCTTTATTTGGTCTATTTGGACACAAGAAATGGAGGAAAACACTGCAGAACACTACCCCAGATAGTCAGTGCAGTTTGAAAACATCTGTGACGTGACTACTTTGAAAATCGTGCAGTCTGAACTGCCTGAGTAGACTAAAACTGTATTAAATTTAGTTTACTAAAACTACAATAAATTTAGATGGCTAAGATAGGACTAAGGCTGTTTCTCAATTTCACAAACGCAGCGAATGGACTCACATTATGTCGGAAGAACAAACTTGGTAGACATTGAGAACATTGAATGCATCCTCTGAGAAACGAGATGCTGCGTTCACCCTTATGGTCACATAACCTTCACACATTTTTACTGTTAATTTATTTATTATACATTTTGTAAGCTGAGAAAATATTATATACTATTCCTTCTATGCTAATGAAGGACTACTAAGACATTCCAAGCATGGGATGGGTCCTGCTGGCATGGCAGAGTTCATCACAGCTCTGATACAAATCTCTGTCATTTGCCTACAGTAACCATGTGCCTTTCACCATGCACAATTAATCTGCTTGTGATCTTCTTCATATAACTTTGTCATGTTTGGTGTCATTTGACAGTTTATGACTTAATACATTGATTGATTGTATTTCAATATAAAATATATTTACTATTGTTGAGTCATGGCCTGAGGAGAGTATGCTAATGTTCTTCTACCCCACTTTATCTCCTCAACTTTGCTCTCATGTTTGGCTTGTTTTGGGTGTTGGTTTTCACTTACCAATGCTTTGCTCAGGGTATAATAAGGAAAGGTAACTGTTGATCTGGAAGAATGGCTTTTACTCTGCGTCTCCCGCACACCGGTGCGTAACCTCATATGCTGGCTAGTTTCACTATCATTGTTGCTCAGCAGTGGAGGTTATAGCTAATTTCTTTATACAGTATATTAGTTTGTTTCATTCTACTGTCTATATTTAAACATGTAACTTACAGTAATAAACAACTTTGACTGCTTTAAGGCGTTGAAATTTTTTCTTTTAATAAATGATGATAACAACTTTAATGAAGTCACATTAATAACCATAGAGTCAGAAAAATAACTTATTTAAACACGCCATCCCTCAACTGCTTTCTGTTTCCGATTATTGGTTCAGAACAGCAGCGTAAGCTTCAAGCCAAACGACATCTTTTTTTTTTTTTAATAAGTATATAACATGCACAAAAGCCTTGCAAATATACTTTGCAAAAATACAACTAAAACAAATTTTAATATGAATTTCAGGAAAATAAACACCCTTAATGTGTTTATGCCTTTATTAAGATTTTCATGTTAATGTTTACCTTAACCTTCTCATTTATGAAATCTCCGGAGATAATTAAAAGTTATATTCCTAACCTTAGGTATAAAATACTGCGCTTCCCACCTCCTTTATTCAGCTAGAATGACTTATAGGACTTGTAGAGCGAGCATTCCGTTCTTGTAATCTTGAGAATAACTGAACTTTGGTGGTTGATGATGACGTTACAAGGGAACACAAGGACACAAGAATGCTGAAGAACACATAAATCTAAATGGCATTTTAGTCAAAAATAAATACTAAATCAAAATTTGCTGTCAAAATGAACACTGCTAACATGATGTGTGCATCCTGGTGGCATGAGTCCCATTGCAGACAGCCAATTTTTGATTGCAACACTGCTCCATTCCATTCTGAGCACACTTAGCACAGCACTTAACACAGCTCTAATGCAGTGCTAAACCTGCTACACAGCAACGTTTCATAACCCTGGGCAAAATGCATTGATAACAACACTTACAAATACATGTGTGAAATATTTCTTTACTCAGAGTTAAAAGCAGTGTTTAGAATGATGATAACCCAGGGTTAAGCACAGTACTAAAAGCCCTATTATTTCTGATCCTATATTTTCATCAGTTTTGACATTTATGCTCTACTATAGCTCTAGTATCTCTAAAAAGGTAACAATGAAATTTGTCCTGCACTGTCACCTACCTTAATGTGGTCAGCCATGTTGTGGTAATTGAGTGCAGCTTTTGATCGGAACTGTTTCTGACACTGCTGACATTTGAGAGCATCCCGCAGCTACAAGAAAGAAAGAAAAAAAACAGACCAGAGTTTATGATGTTGACCTCAAATATAATGAAATCACCAGCTGTAAAGGTGACATTTTATATTTGACATATCTCTTACAATGACATAATTGTGAAAGGTGTATTCCCTCTCTTATATATTTGTCAACCTTAAAATGTCATCTACAAGCAAGTGCATTTTATCACTTCATTTACATATCAAAAATGGCATGTGTGCATGTAAGAGTGTATGGGTGTTTCCCAGTACTGGGTTGTAGCTGGAAGGGCAGCTGTGGTGACCCCTGATGAAGAAAAGACTAAGACGAATGAAAATGAATTAAATAATTAATTTAAAGTAATAATTTCTGCATTGACACACATATAAGTAAACAATGTTTATGGTTATCATTTCAATAAAATTTCTCTGCCATAAAGCATATTTTCCTTAATACCCATCACAGCCATCATCGATTTTATATGGGGCTTAAAAGAGGCCAAAGAAACCACAATTACTCGTGACCCCGCAATAACTGATCGATTTCCTCCTTTAATAGGCATGCCATCATTTTTATAGAGCTGTGCAATACGCCGGTCTGGCACTATGAGCCTCCAGATGCACACTGGGAAGGGCCACTCACTGCACAGCTCACACAGACGCCCAATCAATAAAGTGGCCCTATTGGCTCCCTCTGGCCCCATGCGAGAGGTCCTGAGAGAGGTGTCTAATTGCATGCCTGAAACGTTTTCTTCTCCACTTCCTCTGCGGTTCGGTTGTATAAACAACAGAGGGAGTGTCAATTATTAAAGATTTGATTCATTCGCTTATGTTTTTCTCCTCTTTGGGCATCATTAGTGAAACTAATTTCTTGGTAAATCACAGTTTTTACAAAAACTGTCCCAAAGTAACAATTTCTGCAACATTTTTATGTGCTGTTTCGTCAATAAGGCTTTGTTTTTCTTTATATGAAAGAGGTTGAGTGCTGAATCTGCTACATGATGGTTGATGTTTTTAGAAATCTCATGGTCAGATGTGTTCATTGTAGGTGCAAAGTTTGAACTTCTTAGTGGCTGTTTAAATTACCAATAACTGATAAAAAAAGCTTTGTGAGGCTGAATGAATCCTCATGAGGTCAATGTGAACGTCAATGACAGAGGTCTGTGGTGATGTGTAGCTGGACATTGTGTTACATCTAATAAGTTAGATTCCATGGTTGTTGACAAGAGAAAATTGCTCAATATCTCGAGAGGAAAAAAGTTTCTCTAACAGTAACATCCCATGTCAGAATCAACGCTTTCCATTCCGTTTGAATGAGTGACATCAAGCATTGCCAAACTGAATTGTGGATCCGTCGGTGCCGCTTTATTAGCGGAGCATCAGCCAATAAGATCGATTTATCGAAATACCCTAGCACAGACAGTAGCCGATTATGGACTACTTTCATATGACGATTACGTCAGCCTAAACTTTAGACACACCATCCATCAGGCATTGACACTGAAGCCCCATGTGAAATGTGCGTGATCAGTGTGGCTGATTAAAATGTGAATGATTCTTTTCCATTAGCTCCTTCGAATACTGTAGTTTTTTAATTCTTTTTTTCTCAACACTTTTCTTATTAATTAGATTTTACACCAATAGAGTATAATACTGAATTACAGCCCCTCTCATACACTTTGTTTAATTAATTCTGGACTATTGGTCATTCCTAAAATATCAAAAATCACTGTATGCAGTAGGTTCTTTTACCTGTCTGGCGCCTAAACTCTGATTGTTACATCAACATCAAAAGACACAAGTGTCCATCAAATGTGTGCTTACATTGAAAAACAATGTAAAAGAAGAGTATTGGAAAGAGAAAACACATTATGTGTGAATGCGCCCTACCTCTGGTTGCCTGGGGAACTTTTATGAATTAATTTATTCTTGGCTTTAAAAACAAACATTTTGGAATGAAAACCAAGCATATCATACAAGACTGGAAAATTGCTAACTGCTAATCACCACTGCTCGGATCACATGAGCTGTACTGATGCTCGTATTGGTTGTTGCTCATGAAAGTCCCTCTTTATTTGCATAAAAGTTAAAGAGCCCATTTTATGGGTTTTTGAAAATACCCTTCCATGTAGTGTGTAACAGCTCTAAGTGAAGTGAAATATCCAGCTAAATATACAGCTTAAATCTGTAAGAGTACAGTGTTTAAAACTGTTGATTCATCTATAAAAGAGTCGACTCATAGTGCTTCAAATGAGTCGTCTTGATAACGAGTCATTAGGTGTTTCGCGATGATGTGGCTACAAAACACAAGTAGTTGTGCGCGCAAACCTGGGAAATTTGAAACCTGCAGCCCCGCCCACTAATACAAAAAAAAGCCACACACACACACATAGACGCTGGTTGAATGAAGTCACACCATGCAGATGGATATTATTGACAGTCCCTACCCAAAGATGAAACCTCAGCATTATAGCCCAGCATTGAGGAGTTTGATTGCTTCTGGAAACTACATGCTTACAAAGAAGACTTTATCAGCCGTTTGTTAAAGGAAGAATCAGTAAAGACTTCTGATGGACTATGTCAGAACATGGATCAGTGCATCATGGATCAGTTTCTTCCTCCATTTCTCAAGTGTATGTATGTGCGATTTAAATTGTTGCCTCGTTTACTCTACCTTGCAAATTATGTATTTAGTTGTGTTTTGTTACTTGTCATGTATCAGGTTAACACTTTATATTCTCATATCGCATGTAAAGCTAGGAGATCTCCTTGCCAGTTCTTGGAGTTTTTGCTCAATAAATAGTTAGTCGTCTGTATTTTCCACTCCATTGTCTGTATTTACATTTACCCACTGGCAGCTAAAATCCACGCCTTACACTATGAAGTGTGTATGCACTATGACTACTTTTATATTGTTGATTAGCTGCTGGGCATTTCACTCTGTCGTGCTGAAGGCTGTCAGTGTCGACAAATCACAGCAGGCTGTCATCGGTCCAATCAGTGCAGATTAGTTTCGCGCTACGGAGGGGTTTGGGTACAAATGAATCACTGAAGGATTCGTATGGGAGTCGCTGGGATAATTAGGTAAAAGTAAATGCAGATTATAAGACCATGAAAATGTTTTTTGACCTTGCATGCATATTAGATTGTTGTTGGAGACCCTTACAACAAAAATATGAAGCTATTTCATGTATAAAGGAGCTCTTTAAAGGATTCTCAAATTTTTCACACCGCTCGACCAGCCCACATCCGCACTCCAGCCGTCACTGTTGCTTGTGTAGACATGAATGTCACCAAAAGTCGCCAGCCCTCCCTTGAAATGAATGCTTGCTTGTCGCTTTGCTGTTGTGAGTACTTCGTAGTGTGAATGTGGCTTGAGGCTGTATTAATCGGGGAAATCGGAGCCCAGAACACTTCCCAATAAACTCTGGATTTTGAACACCATCTACACTTACGTTAGTCTGTCTGTTTGTCTCTCCTTACCCTGGGGTTAACATAATCTTGGATCTGGCCTGTAACCAAAGCAGATGTTTGTTGTGGCCATCGACGAGTCTAGAGGACAAGACTGATTCCTGCAAAGACCCAATTGACAGCTGAATCTCTGCTAACATCCTATCAGCTAGGACCTGCACCTACACCTTTCTCAAGCCCTTGGATGTCTTTAGACTGCAGCTGTCCCTTTCTGTTTGGCCAGAGGAGAACTAGATGCATCGGCTAAGCCTAGTATCTCCCCATTCCCAAACTCCACTGGTTGAACTGATCAGGATGCCCAAACAAAACATTGCTTATTTTTTTTCACCCTAATTTTTGTCCTAATATTTGTTGCTCATACTATCTGGAATTGAAGGTTGCTTTAAGGTCTCTCTAAGCCCCTCTAAACTTCTTTCTGAGAAGCTACTTTTCTCTAATTGGTCAGATGGCTTAGTTTGTAGTGATTTGTCAAATACTTACAGTAATGTCTTTTACCATATTTGAGTATACGTTTCTTCAGCACTTGAGGCACATAGATATGAGGTGTCAGTTATACATTATCAATTTGACCTTGAGCTTTCATCCTTTGGAAATGTATGTGGAACAAACTTTTCCAGTCCTCAGCTACTACTACCGTTTCTGAAGTTTTGGTACATGTCAGTCATGAAGACTATAAAGTGTCATTGTGCAAATCTACTACAAACCTATATAAGTGTAAACCAAAGTAAGTCTGGAATTACTGATGATGACTCAATATAGTTCATCTCTTACTTTTGGGCAGGGGTTACCAAATTCAGTCCTGGAGGGAGGGTGTCCTGACAGAGTTTATCTTCATCTTGCCTCAAAACACCTGCATGGAAGTTTTATGTATACCTAGTAAAACCAGGAATGACCTGACTAGCTAGTGCTTGGTTAGGGTTGGAGCTAAAGTCTGCAGGACACCAGCACTCCAGGAACAAGTTAGATGACCCCTGCTTTTGTGTGATAAGAACTCCATTTATCATGCATTCACAGCACATTCACTCCTATGTTATACCAAATGAATGGAAAATCTGAAAAAAAATTATGGGAATCTCTGTAATAATGTGTTTCTGTAAAGTAAGCTGTGATGATGTTGAGTTTTCCAGTTGTCCAGAAGGACTCTGACCTTTTGACAGATCTCCATGTGCTTCTTCAGACCATGTACGGTCTTGCGAGTGACAACAGAGCATGTCGGACAGACAACTTCTCCTCTCTCAGAGATGGTGCTCTGCCACTGGGCTTCAGCAGGAGGCACTGAGACACAGAGATCAAGCACAGTTAATTAACAGGGTTTTTTTTTTTTCATTATACATTATATGCCTTTTTTTCCATTTACTGAAGGTAATGCGAATTTCCACACATATTAGTACAGCTATCCCTATGGGGACTTCCCATAGACAAAATTATTTTTATACTGTACAAACTGTACAAACCCCTCACAGAAATCAAATAGCAGTTTAGCATTACCAAACTACTTACGTCTAAGTGATTTCCGAGCCGTTTTCCTTATGAGGACCAAAAAATGTCCCAACAAGGTCAAAATCTTGTGGTATTGCTAGTCGACATTGCTACAGTTCATTTTTATTTACAGTTTAGATTTACATTTAATTAGTTTTTTTCCTTATATCACATGTACAGTATATAATTAATATTTCATTATAGAAATTAATTCAAGATGTTCCAATTTGATGTCCATATTAAATACAAATTACAAAAGCGGTTTTATTTAAATAAAAATATCCATACAAAAAAAAACATAAACATAATAAATATTTAGTAAAGTGTTCGCATTAATCTTTTAAAATAACTGGTGTGAAAATAACTTAAATGTTTCAACAGTCAAAAACATACTATTTCTGGTCATTGGAATACATAAAAAGACTTTTCCAAACCATTATATTTTAAAAGAAACGTTTTGATGTCAAATGGGCAAATCTAGTAATTTGAAGGATAATGACAAAATATAAAGATTTATTACTTAATAAAGCAATAGTTCGCCCCAAAATAAACATTTTTGCACCATGTACTCAGCCTACAAGTGCTTACAAAGTTTCTGTGTTGTGTTAAAAACAAAAAAATATATATTTTGAAGGCTGTTAGAAATCGGTAACCATTACTTCAATAGTGGGAAAAAATAGTATGGAAGTCAATGGTTACAGGTTTCCAGTGGTGGAAAGAGTACTGACAAATCTTACTCAAGTAAAAGTACCATTTCTTGCTCAAAATGTAGCACAAGTAGGGTAAAAGTATCTGCTGTAAACATTACTCAAAGTAGGAGTAAATATAACATTTCAAATGTACTCAAGAGTAGTGAGCAGTGAGTATTATGCTGTTAAAAGCTGATGCATTTTTTTTTTATGTAATTTGTGAATGTGTGTAAATGTAACATTTTGTAATGCATTGAGTCAATATCCAGCAGGCACACAATGTCATAAGATGCTAATATTAGCATAGGTTTAGGTTGTGACATCTGGTGACCAACATTCAATGTCTAGTCAGTGTCTAAGCTGGCTAGACCATCAACATTATTTTGATTATTTCCAATAATGATATCTAATGAAGTTGATATTTGGTTGATTTTAGGTTGTGTTAGAAAGTGACCAAAATCGAAAGTTGAGCCAACATTCTAAACAAATATCATATTGACCTCAAATACAGACATTTATTTGTTATTGCTTGTAAAGATTTTGGACATCCTCTTGGACACTTTTAATGCTTCCAAACAGTTTGCTGCTATTATAAATCGCCCTTTAGGTCATTCATTATGAGGCGATTTGCCTTCTATGCGGGATTTGATTAGACAGAAATCACAAGATTGATTTTTCTACTGTAACCAATCCCCATAGACAACAAAAAATAAAGTAGTGACTGCAGGTTGAAGGAAATTAATAGAGTAAAGTACCGATACATCACTAAAAATGTACTCAAGGGAAAGTAAAAGTACACATTTTAAAACTACTTAGTAAATACAATTCCTGAGAAAACTAAAGTTATTCACAGTTACAGTTACAATTACAGTGTAATTACTCAATTACAGTAGTTTGAGTATTTGTAATTTGTTACTTTACACCACTGCAGGTTTCCAACATTTTTCAAAATAATTTCCTTTGTGTTCAACTGAAGAAAGAAACACAAACAGGTTTGGAACAAGTGGAGGATAAGAAAACGAATTTTCATTATTGGGTGAACTGTCTCTTTAAGTATTACATATTATACTGTATAAAATAATGTAAATTACATTACAGTTTTGTTTTGTTTGATGCTTGAAACACTATTTTTGACCCCTTTTTAACTTGTACTGTTATTGTTATTTCACATTTCCGGATTTTTTCAGCACCGGAAGTTATAGTTGGCTAAACATAGAGCGCAATGAATGGGAGAGTAAAACAAATATTTGTTTTAAAATCCTATTTGCTAAAATAATAAAATATAAGCTCCCCAATGGTGTTATAAAGTTTTTCATGTCTGTTTTTTGTAATTTGATGCAAATTTGATATAATACATACATGAATACATATAAATGTTCAGTCGTTTTTTTATTTTTATTTAAATATTAAAAACTTTCAAGGATTTAAGATGCTGATGATCGTTAAACAAGCCATAACGTTCCTGTGAAAAAGGTACATTATACACTACTTGGCCCATGCAAATGCACTCCATGATTTCATCATCCAAGTCATGCAGAGAGAGTAAAGAGAGACCTGAACTAGCTTCTTTTCTGTTGGGAGTTTGAGTCGACTGCTTCCTCGGGGACTCCTCACTGAACTGAGTCCCTTCTGCCCGCTTCATCCGGCCTGCTTTTAACTTCTCCTCCACCTTATTCATTCCTGTGCAACACATAACAAAATCACACACTCAGGGACAGCCGAGACCTCACAAGTCACAAAAACACAAGCACCACTGAGATGAACAAACAAAAGCAAAGTGAGGAAATTAAACCCTTCAAATTTTCCTGGGGGTCAGAAAATCGTGTTGTGTTGTAGCCTGTTTTGGGATATCACGTTACTTGATAATGTAAGATTACAGCTTACAACAGGAAATGAAACACGTCTTAAATAACTTTATAGATGCCTATTAGCAGCAGCAGGGGTCATTTTATCAGAGATTATATGGATGTTAATTATAAACATACAGGAGCATAAAAGTACAGCTGAAATCTTAAAGGAACATTCACCTTTGTTTGGAAATAGGCTCATTTTATAAGTAACCTAAAGTTAACATTTGAATTTGGAATTGAATTCAGATAATCTGTATTTACATTGTGTACAAAGACTGATGAAAAATGAAAAGTTACGGATATGTATAGGAACTCTATGATCGTTCCGGTGTAATAATCAAGGAACTTTACTGTTGTGCCATGGCTAAAGCAGGTGAAATGATATAGCAAACTCTGACAGATTTATTTCTTGTTAGACTACTATATTTGAATAGCACGCTCCCATTTGACAGTGGGCCTCTTGGCACAGCTCCACCTCAAGGCTCACTGTGCCTTCTAGTGCAGCTCCACCTCAGGGCTCAGTGAGCTCCAAAGAAGACCTTCATTGCCAGGTTCAGTAAGCATGTTTAGTCTTTTCTGAAATATTTATAGACATTTTCTCCTGTCTGATGTTCAATGTCTGAGTTGTTTGGTTTTAACTGCCATGCTTATTTATTTACTGTTCAGTTTATAGATGACACAGAGTGTTTATTTTTACAGCAACAAAAATGGGCCCCCCTTAAAATCAGACCCAGGAGACATACACTTGCTTTTAATAATAAAAGTTACAAGCTTAAAATACACATGTGAAGACTGAAAATGGCAAGTTCATACAGAAAAAGAGCTTGTTGGAGCATTTCATTTGGGTTTATGACTAAAAATAGATACTTGCAAACTGTAAAAAAGCATTTAGGGGTATTTAAATAAAAGCGTGTGAATAAAAACAGGTCCCCATGTGTCTTTGCTCTCTCTCTCTCTCTCTCTCTCTCTCTCTCTCTCTCCCTCTCCCTCTGCATTTAGGATCATTAAATGTCTTAATTATGGATTTAAAAAGTCATTAGTTTTAAAAGATCACCATTTCCTGTCCAAATGTAAAATCATGGAATAACTACTTAAGGGAGGGAGACTAAATTAGGACAGAATATTAAAGGGTCACGAAACACCAAAACCCATTTTTTGAGCTGTTGACAGTCCTATATGTGTCACACACTGCTAAAAACATTATTAGGACACATCTATTCCACTAAAAAGTGAAAATTGGTTGTTTTTGCGTTATTTCGAGCAAATTCGTATTTCCGGTTTGAAACAAATTTTTGAAGCTGCGTCATGACTTGAGATCTTAGCGTGTATTCGATCGTATAGACTGGACGTCTGTACCTGGGAGTACCTTATGACTTCTTGGAGTGTGCTGCATTCATTCAAGAGTAAGACTTGGTTCAAACCAATCAGCGCGCTCTATTGTGTATGCGGTGCAACTTCATTAATATGCATGATAGCTTCAAAGAATGTTTTCTACTTGTTACAGTGTTTAGACGGCAGAGAGACGCCGCGTTGTGTTGCCAAGTGGAAGAACAATAATTGTTTGGAGATACGGGTCATCAGTGTTGCTTTTATAATTTGCTGCACTGAAGGTTTTTTTCATTTTCCCTCTATGGAAGCTCAGCTGGACTCACGTGTGAATTACAGTGCACACGACGCTCGTCTGAAATATGTGTCAAAGGAACATTGTTAAGCCAAGAGCTTTTCTCATCTGGAAATGGTAAATTTCGGATTTGCCATCTCCTTTTAAAAAAAACTCAGCTCCAGTTGGTGTTGATTGTTCTGTCTGTTTAGATTTGGTAAGCGATCAGTGGTCTTTGTTCGTTTATTCAGAGGCAAAGTTAGTTTGTATCGTGTTCAGTACTCTTTTAGTGTTTAAAGACGGACATTAGTCAAATGGTTTTTAAGTTAACACAGTTTACTGTACATTAACATCACTACAATATTATGGACGGAAAAATCAGCTGTAAATGCAGTTCTTCGAGTGTAAACATGTAAGCACCACAACCAAACTTACCGTTGTGTAGGATTTTCACCACATTTTGTGACAGGAATAACACACACGGCTTTCTGACGCTACCTACTGTGTGCATCTAAGTTACCGGAAAATGCAGAGGGTTTTTTTTTTTTTTCGCATTCGCCGGACAGTAACAAACATTGCAGAAAAAATGCACGCTTACAGCAATTCCTCAAATCAAATATATTGTTTGTCACCAGGGGCATAAATGAAATTCCTAAATGAAGAAGGACTTTGACTGCCAAACTGCAGTTAAAGTCCACCATTTAATAATTTGGCAAATAATTTGATTACTGATGTCCATGTAAACACAGTCACTGTCTTTCTCCTCAGTGTCTGTGTTTGTTTTGCTTCTGTGAAAATCAGCGCGTGCCCAAACCGACACTCCCATTTTTATGCTAATTTTTACAGACATTCCCACTTTCCCTCCTCCGACCCTCCCCCCTAAACAGACATGCCCACTTTCCTAACTTTTTCCAAAGTAGAGGTGTGAAAAAACCCTGCTGAAACAAGGGGGTTTCATGGTTCTTTATTTCTGGCTGAGCTATTCCTTTAAGACCATATAGTGCAAATGACTTTAAGTTGACCGCATTTACAATGCAAACAATGTTTTTCTTACTTGTTACTTGTTACTTTTTATTCGATTAAAAAAAAAAAGTGATAAAAAAATTACGGAAACTTATTTACAAAATAAATTCCAGCATGCGCATAAAAAAAGACATGCTATTTTGTTTTACCAGATCATGGGATGGGTGCGATGGGACTGTGTTAATGAACAAATCAGCCTTATCACATTGTACATCATCTGAAATGTTGGTTTGGTCAGTCTAAAATCCCTCGAAGTATAATACTGAGTCGTCTTCTTCTTCTGAAGCACAAGTAATGGTCACACTTTATTTTGATGTCTGTTTGTTGAATTTAAGTTACACTGCATCTATATGCCAACTAATTCTCATTGCAAAGCTTCTTATAGTCAGTTAAATGTTTGTTGAAGAAGCATATCAACAGATCTTAAGCAGACAGTCTACTAGTACTCAAATGGACCATCAAAATAAAGTGTTACCCAAATAATTCATAACATAAGAAAAAAGGCCAGTGGCTTCTCCTACTGCAGCAAATTCCATTTTTCTTTTTGATATACCCCACTAGTATATCAGAAAGTTACAACATTGCTTACTTTGACCAATTGGATTGAAACTGGATTGACTTTATTTGCAAATGTTAATGCAATATTCCAGCCAGATTCGCAGCTTTGGATCTAAATGTATCTTATGTGTGATGCAATGTGAAGATTTCTACATATAATGCAATGGCGATTCCCACTCTCTATTATATAAAATTAGATGTATGAGCTTTTGTGTTGCAATACCTTTCAAACCGAATGTTCCTGAAATGGACGGCTGCTCCCCGGTGAACTTCTTTGGAGTTTTCTGCTTCCTCCCTGGCTCAAATGGAGAAGAACAACAACAAGAGGTCAAACATCTCAATAACATGGCATTCACTGTTGCTGTATGACAACCTGTGGTGCTAAACAATAGCACTTGTGAGCTTCTGTTGTACATTACAGTCTCATTAATGATGCTCAAACTTCACCTACTGTTTCACATGCTGCGGTTCCTCCTGTGGAGAAACTGAAACAGCTAAGATAAAGCCAAACATCCTTATTTTTAATAACACTTTACAGGAAGGGGTGTTCACAAGACTGCCACGAAATACAGTTAATATGAAGGAGGTTCAATGCATGCTTATAACAACTGTCATCAACTGTCATTCGCTCAGTTATGTCATTTGAAATGCAAAGGTGACATTGTTGGAGATATCATTGTTATGACAACTAGACAAACAACAAGACAAATAATTACATCATAACCTGTCTTTGTTTTTGTCACGACTACTTGACTTTACCAAGATAGCAAAACCTTTCAGTTTGACATTATTAAACAAATAAAAAATAACATGTCATAAACTTGTCATAAACATGAATGTTATTAGGCCATTTTAATAGGGTCATGACATGATTTTAATAGTGTCATGATTTTATAACAGCATTGGTAATATTTTTCAATAAATCTTTACCGAATGTCATTACATATCAATGATGCTGTTGTAAAATCATTTGACAGAGTATTGACACTTTTGCTTAGTAATGTTTATGACTTATTCATGATAAATTATGTCACCTTGCTAATGTCAAACTGTCATGACCAAGAAACTGACAGGTTTTGTTGTCTTGGTAATGTCATGGCAATAAATGTCATTAAGTTTTAAAAATGCTGTTATAAAATCATTTGACAGAGTATTGACACTTTTGCTTAGTAATGTTTATGACAGATTTATGACAAATTATGTCACCTTGCAAATGTCAAACTGTCATGACCAAGACACTGACAGGTTTTGTTGTCTGGGTAATGTCAATTGACAATGAATGTCATTAAATTTCAATTATGCTGTTATAAAATAATTTGACAGTGTATTGACACTTTAGCTAAGTGATGTTTATGACAGATTTATGACAAATTATGTTGTCTTGCTATTGTCAAACTGTCATGACAAAGACACTGACAGGCTTTGTTGTCTGGGTAATGTCAAGTGACAAGGAATGTCATTAAATTTCAATTATGCTGTTATAAAATAATTTGACAGTGTATTGAAACTTTTGCTTAGTAATGTTTATGACAGATTTATGACAAATTATGTCACCTTGCAAATGTCAAACTGTCATGACCAAGACACTGACAGGTTTTGTTGTCTGGGTAATGTCAATTGGCAATAAATGTCATTAAATTTCAATGATGCTGTTATAAAATCATTTGACAGTGTATTGACACTTTAGCTAAGCAATGTTTATGACAGATTTATGACAAATTATGTTGTCTTGCTATTGTCAAGCTGTCATGACAAAGACACTGACAGGTTTTGTTGTCTTGGTAATGTCAAGTGGCATTAAATGGTCATTAAATTTCAATGATGCTGTTATAAAATCATTTGACATAGTAATGACACTTTTGCTTAGTAATGTTTATGACAGATTTATGACAGGTGATGGCATCTTGCTAATGTCAAGCTGCCATGAAAAAAACACTAATAGGTTTTGTTGTCTTGGAGATGTCAAGTGGCTCTAAATTCTCATTAAATAGCAACGACCCTGTTCTAAAATTATTTGACAGTATTGACACTTTTGCTAAGTAATGTTTATGACAGATTTATGACAAGTTGTGTCCTCTTTGCTAATGTCAAACGGTCACAACAAAAACACTGACAGGTTTTGTTGTCTTGGTAATGTCAAGTGGAATTAAATGGTCATTAAATACCAACAATGCTGTTATAAAATAATTTCACAGTGTATTGACACTTTTGCTTAGTAATGTTTATGACAAGTTATGTCATCTTGTTATTGTCAAGCTGTCATGACAAAGACTCTCACAGGTTTTGTTGTCTTGGTAATGCCAAATTGTCAAGACAAAGACAAAGACATGTTATGATGTATTTGTTTATGTCAAGTTGTCATAACAAACATCTCAAACTATATCAACTTTGCATTTAAAATGACAACTATGCGAAGGTCACTTGATGAAAGTTGTCATAAGCATGTATAATTCTGTGTGTAATGTCATAATCATGATTACGTCTTATGATTACGTCTTATGAACACTCCCTAAAGTGTTTTTTTTTTACTAATGAATACAGAACACAGTAGTTCATTTATATTCTTGAAGAAAGCTAAATAAAGTAATCTTGCTATATAGATAGCTAAATAAAGTGACATATTATATCCAAAAACTTCATACGGTGAACTAAAAATCAACAGGAAGAGAAGAAGCTGCTGCAGTGAGTCTAAATACTGAAGTTCAGCTTTGATGAATATGCTTGACAGCATAGACTATAAGCTGTCATTGAGGGTAAGGGTGACCAACAAAGTATTTTTTGGTGTAAATATCGAATTGTTTTTGGCTGCTTGTAATCCATGATATCTTTCAAAGTTATCTGACATTAACAAGAAGATTTTGTTCTGACAGTTAAGCTGAGATCTTGTCATACTTTATAACAATTTTCTTATCTAAAGCAGATAAATTGTGTTAATGTGAGAAATGTTGAACACGGTTGAATACTATTTGGTTTGAGGTTACGTATCTTACATCTTAATGTGTATGCATTCACATGACCTTTGCTTGTCAACTTATGTCACACAAGCACAGCTGCTCAAGTCTTTTCCTCCTGACATTTCAGACACACACACACACACACACACACACACACACACACACACACACACACACACACACACACACACACACACACACACACACACAGTCCTCGCCTCTGGCTCTGGAATGGAACAGCAAACGAAGGGATCGTGTACCCAAACAAAGGCCATAAATAGCGAACTCACAGCACGAGTCGCGCCGACATCTCAACACACACAGCGGTTCTGCCAGGCGGAGACAGAGACAGCAGTGCCACCAGCTACCAGAGAGACTTAATGACCGGCAAACACTGAGCTCTCACACACTGCTACTTAAAGGGCCAGGACAACACTTTACACAAACGCCAATAAGGGCATTCTGGGACATGCTAATGACTGCTGTTATAATTTTGACGTAAAAACATTTAAAATAGCACACACCGAGAAATCATTCATTTACTTTTGTCCAGAATTTTTTTATGTCATGTGAGTTTTATATATAGTGCTTATTTTAAAGAGGTGGTCCACTACGATATCATATTTAAACTTAAGTTCATGTGTAATGTTGCTATGTGAACATAACATCTCTCAATGCAATACGCTTAAAGTTTTACAGAGTTAGCTCAGCAAAGCCTACAGTATGAAGTTTGGGGACTACAAAAAATACATCCAGGCTAGTGAGATCACAAAAGCTTTAAATTACATGCATCAACTGCGTGCAGCAAAGGGGCGTAGCCAAAGGTGCTGTAATGTTATAGCAGAGAAAGGTAAAATGCCATCCAAACACTGCTATTTCCACAGAGCTTCTTCTGTTTCTGTATTAGTGCTTCTGACGGACACAACAAAAAGAGAGAAGTACTTACAATTTAATTTTAATTATGTTCCTGAGATTTATAAAAATACATAGCTCTAGCATTTGACAAAGGAGAGCTTCCAGAATCTCTTCCAATTAAATGATGGATTTGTCTAAAAACTCCTCAAAGAAGGAACAGCTCCAACCATAATAGACGAAGATGTGGATTGTGAGCAACAACCTAGTATTTTGAGTTGTTAAAATGAATCTATTGTATGCATAGTAGGATTTTCATTTATTCATTCATTCAATTATTCATTCATTTTCTTTTCGATTTAGTAATTAATCTGGGGTCGCCACAGCGGAATGAACCGCCAGCTTATCCAGAATATGTTTTTGCAGCAGATGCCCTTTCAGCTGTAACCCATTTCTGGGAAACATCCATACACACTTATACACACTCATATATGGACAATTTAGCCGAGGCTAAAAGATTAAACTTTTTTTAAGATTGAACTTTATTTGATTGATTACAGTTTTGATTTGGCATCATCTAATCTAATGTATATGCCCACATAAATGCATACATACATACATTCACTATCACTATCACAAAGTCACTATCATATTTTCTGGGCATGTCCAATTATACACCTGTTTTTGGAAAGACATTCACAAGACATTGGAGGCCGTATTGAAGACCGAAATCAAATTTCAGCTTTCAGTGTTATACTTAGGAATTTTTGAGTTGCATGAAACTAAATATATATATATATATATATATATATATATATATATATATATATATATATATATATATATATATATATATATAGAGAGAGAGAGAGAGAGAGAGAGAGAGAGAGAGAGAGAGAAACATAAAGAATAGTATTGGTTGCACCCTACTATCATGTCAGGTGTTATTAGTTACTGTGACAGCCAGCAGTCATGATCTCAGTGTGTAGCAATCTTACTGTGCTTCATTCTTTCTGGGTCCTCCTCAGGGAATGGTGGAGGTAAACTGCCCCCCTCGCTCTCGCTGCCTCCGGTGTCTACAGACGAGTTCTGCTGCTGTCTTCTGTCCGGCCTCTGGGGGGCGCAATCCCCATTCTGTGAGGGCTGAGACGCCTCCTGTGTCTTCTTCACCTTGAAAAATAGAGGCGACGGAGGGTTGTTCTCCACGGGCCTGAGAAGGAGCACGGGGAACACAGCCTATTAATGTCAATCCACAGAGGAGCCACACCATAGAAACATCATCTAGGACATAATGAAGACCTCATGGAAAACAAGGCATCATTTTTAGCTGAGTGCCAAATAAAGTGTTTGCGCACATATTAGCTGTGGAAATGTATCATGCATGGCTAAAGTTGGATTAAGAAAAAGCGTTCAAACCTTTTTTTGGCATTTCCCTTCATGGGGCTTTTCTGCTGTTTGGGTTCGGGTTTGGGGTCAGGTTTGGTCTCCATGGTGACTCTTTCTGGATGGTTCCACAGCTTGTGCTTCTGAAGACGCACCTTGGTGGCAAACACAGCTTCACAGTACGGGCAGCTGTGACTCAGCTTCTCTGCTATGGTCGCCTGAATACCACACAAACACACACACTCAGTTAAGTTCTGTGCTATAGGTATCAGATGTAAGCAAAAAAAAATTGGTTGGGTCTTTCCAGAGTTTTTTTTTTTTTTCACTAAAGAAGGTGGGTCAAGACGGTTCAGTGGTGGCCCAATCTTCAACTTGTTTTATAAAAGATTGAAATGTCCACTGAAATGTCAAGAAGAGTAACAATAGTTTTTATGTCAAAAAAGCTTGCAAGTCATATGTTTATAGCACAAATATTTGATGTAAGGGAAAAATGCTTATATCTAAGGTTGTTCCGATTCCAATACAAGTATCAGAGATGCCACTGATACCACAAAAAATTCTCGTATCAGTGTTGCTGAGTCTTTGAAACCATTTTCTTCAATGAGACATACAGTTATGCCCGCTAGCTTTGTTTAAATCTAAAGTCAATTCCTTGCTGCATAGAATGCAAACACAGCAATCACAGAAATGTGATTTCCACCACTTTACAAAAAATTTGAAAGTATTCATAATAGCATCACTGCGAAAAAAAACAAAAACAAAAAAAAAGATGAATGAATGCATGCTACACTTCCAACTGTACATTGTGCTTTCTTTTTCTTCAAATGAGTTTTGAGGTAAAATAGGAATAAATCCTCATAAAGTCAGCGTATTAGCGCGCTGCTACATTGAAAACATATCATTCGATTTGTGTCTTCTGATTGGTTGTTGGGATATAGCGGCTTTTCTGTCAAAGGCAAGTGTCGTTTAGGGGCTTTTTATTTCTAAATACGCTGATGCTGCGATTTTAATGATAAAAAGCTAATCTTTTTGTTAATGGCGTACTACGTGCCTAAAGCATTCATTCAATGTCATTATCTCATTTTTGGCGGAAGTGGCGTTTAGCTGCTTTTGCATCTGATCTCTTCATATATGTGTGCTTAAGTCAAAATTATTAGCCCTCCTGAATAATTTCTACACTTTTTCAAATATTTCCCATGTGATATTTAACACAGAAAGGAGATTTTCACAGCACTTCCTATAATACTCTTTCTTCTGGGAAAAGACATAAGAAATTAGTTATTAGAAACTAGTTATTACAACTGATACATTTAAAAAATGTGTTGAAAAAATCAAATAAAAGAGATAAAGTCAGAATTATTAGCCCTCCTACTAATTTTTTTCTTTTTTAAATATTTCCCAAATGTTGTTTAACAGAGCAATGACATTTTCAGAGTATGTCTGATCATATTTTTGCTTCTGGAAAAAGTCTTATTTGTTTTATTTTGACTAGAATAAAAGCAGTATTCAATTTTTTGTTAACCATTGTAAGGGCAAAATTATTAGCCCCTTTAACCAATTTTTTTTTTCTCGACTGTCTACAGAACAAGCCATCATTATACAATAACTTGTCTAATTACCCTAACTTGCCTAGTTAAACTAATAAACCTAATTAAGCCTTCAAATGTCACTTTAAGCTGTATAGAAGTGTCTTAAAAATTTTCTAGTAAAATATTATTAACTGTCATCATGGCAAAGATAAAATAAATCAGTTATTAGAAATGAGTTATTAAAACTATTATGTTTAGAAATGTGTTGAAAACAATCTTCTCTCCATAAACAGAAATTGAGGAAAAAAATAAACAGGGGGGGATAATAATTGAGGGGGGCTAATAATTCTGTCTTCAACTGTATATACTATCGAAAAAAAGACTTGTCATTTATCCAAGTTTTAGGAACAACCAATAATAACTTGATTTCTAGTAAATCATTTGGTGTCAGAAGTGGCTTATATGAAAGGCAAATGCCTCTAGAATACACTTTATTTTTAAACTATTTACTTTTAAACTATTTAATTAGGACAGTAAGGTCTGACTTTGCTCAGACAAAAACCTTGTCACTTAACAGAAGTAATGTACAGTTTAAAAAGAAAAAGTGGAAAAATAATTAATATTTGACATGACTTCGCTGACCTTGGATGACTGCATCCATACATTTCTGCAATGACTCAAATAACTTATTAATAAACTCATCTGGAATGGCAAGGAAAGCATTCTTGCAGGACTCCCAGAGGTCATCAAGATTCTTTGATTTATCTTCAATGCCTCCTCCTTCATCTTACCCCACACATGATCAATGTTAATGTCTGGCGACTAGGCTGGCCAATCCTGGAGCACCTTGACCTTCTTTGCTTTCAGGAACTTTGATGTGGAGGCTGAAGTATTAGAAGAAGCGCTATCCTGCTGAAGAATTAGCCCTCTCCTGTGGTTTGTAATGTAATGAGCAACACAAATGTCTTGATACCTCAGGCTGTTGTTGTTGCCATCCACTCTGCAGATATCTTGCACGCCCCATACTGAATGTAAACCCAAACCATGATTTGTCCTTCACCAAAATTGACTGGTTTCTATTAGAATCTTGGCTCCACTTCCGCAGTATTTGTGATGATTGGGATGCAGCTCAATAGATGATTCATCTGAAAAAAATCTACTTTCTCATACTTTTCCAAATCATCAACTAGAAGTCAAACAAGTTTTGCTCTCACAACTAGGATCGACGGAAAGAGTCTAGTCAGGTAGTGTGTGTGTGTGTGTGTGTGTGTGTGTGTGTGTGTGTGTGTGTGTGTGTGTGTGTGTGTCAGGTAGTGTGTGTGCCGCTAAACGACACTTCCACCAAAAATGAGGTAATGACATTAAGCGAATGTAGAACAAACAAAACATATATTTGCATCAAATTATCTCAAACGCAGCGCCAGCTTATTCAGAAATAACAGTTTGTTGGCAAAAGCCTCTAAACGCCACTAGCCTTTGACAGCAAAAGCTGCTATGTCCTGAGAAACAAGCAGAAAACGCAAATCGAATCATAGCTTTTCACTGTAGCAGCGCACTGATACGTCGGCCTTTATGAAGAGACTGTTTTATTCTAATTCCGATTTACATTTTAAAAGATGGAGTTTGATGAGCCTGTTCGACTGTCAGTGACGGTCAAATGAAAATGAAAATGAAAATGTCCCTCAAATGTCCCTGTGCATCATAAGAAAAAGAATACACAAATGTACAGTCGGAAGTGCAGCATGCATTCATAATGTTTTTTTTGTGCAGTGCTGGTACTTTGAATGAGTTCGATTTACTTGACATTGAGCGGCAACTCAATTTCACGAAAGATCATTTTAAGATACTATTTTTTTTGTGGATAAACAAGAGACAAAAAAAGAGACCAAGACCTTGAGCATAGTGAGAATGAATGAGTGACAGCTTTTAAAATTGTCTGAGAGACATCCCCTTTTTTGCACAGTAGGCCTTGTCTTTTATTTGCTAATGTATATATATATTACTTTAATAAATTGTATTCCTTTTTTCATTATGGACAATGCACAGACATTGATGTTTCACAATGTTTTTACACTACATTATTTGAATCTAAAAAGCTTAGTTTGCAATGTTTAATTTTTTTTACATTACTTTTACATTACAACCTTAATAAATCAAAATCCAAAATATCAGAAATACCAACAGATTGTTAACAATTAATTAATGCTAGTTTTAATATTATTGATTAATGCACTTACTCGACAGATGTCATTCATTCAATTGCCTTATAGTCCCTGGTTTATCAGGGGTTACCACAGCAGAATGAACCGCCACTTACTTGACATATTTATGTATTTTATATTTTAGGTGGTTTGTGTAATGTGTTTTAAGTTTAATAAAATAATTTCTAATTGCATCTTTAGTGATTTTCAACTAATTACAGTCTTGTCCCAATAGGTGGATTTAGAGGTATTTGCAAAAAAGCACAAGTGGATTTAGCTCGTTTTGATGGCAAAAAAAATCTAAAAAGTGAAATTTTGGAAAAAAATGTGTTTTATTTACCAGATAATAACCTTCTCATTATCTATAATAATATAATACAATATATAAAACATCTGAACCTAAACAGAGGAGCCTGATAGAAAAATGTTCATTTACAAGAAAAGTGATGTGATTTATCTATCTATCTATCTATCTATCTATCTATCTATCTATCTATCTATCTATCTATCTATCTATCTATCTATCTATCTATCTATCTATCTATCTATCTATCTATCTATCTATCTATCTATCTATCTATCTATATATATATATATATATATATATATATATATATGAAGTTCTTTTTCAGTGTGGAAGAGTAAATAATATTACTGTTAAATGTGTCTTATAATAAAATACTCTAGTTCACTAAATGTATTTGTTCATGTTTTATTACAGGATAAGTTTGAAGTTCATCATAAAACATTTAGATAAATTCAAACAAGGTTAGTAGGTGCACAAATACACACCCAGGTCTGGGGTTAGCACTTTATCGGCTGATACCAGTCCATGTATTGGAATCGGTATCGAAAAGGGTATCGGGACATCTCTAATTTAAGGATCACAGAGATGCCAATAAAGGCTAATCAATTGACATTTTACATCTTTACATATTTGTACAATTCTTCAATCCACTTGGTTTCACCTATTTTTCAGCAAGATGATTTTAAGTACCCAATGTAACATGCGTTCTCTCTCTCTATATATAATCAGTTGTGTAAATATACACTGTGTATTTAGTAAACATATATTAAGATTTTATCATATCATTAAGATTTGACTAAAAATGTAATAGCTTTAATTCCCAGGATTACACTAAACTGATTAAAAGTTGAGATGTTTATAATCTCACAAATAATTTAAAATTTAAATAGGTTAAATGTATTCGTCCAAACTTTATATTCAAGACAAAATAAATGTAGAAATCTATGTATTCATCCTCTTTGACACCTGCCAAAACAACACAAGTATGCCAGTATCAATACATTTCAAAGCTATTGCAGCTAAATGTCCTAGCTGACGCAATCCTAAACCAACCCAAACCTTTAGCACTTCATAACCTTGACTTGACTAGTCGGAAACTGTCCATACAACCCACTGACTATAGTGTAAACCCCCACTGAGTGCATACACGTTTTTTTTTTTTTTTTTTTTTTTGCAGTGTAATGGATATTAGTGTTTACCCCTTGGCATCGCTGATAGTGATATTTAAGTCCGTAAATACTGGGGAATTCCAGCCAGCAGCCTGAGCTTGGACATTTCACCCTGGAACGACTCTTAAACTCCTCTTTCCACTGAACCATCATATGGGCCTTCAACGAGAGAAAAGCAAACAATACACAAGAGGCACTGCAAACTATTAGCAATCAATTGACTAACACTCAGCCCTCTGTGAGATGATCCTCTTCCAAATTCAACAGTTGGAAGTACTTTTGGAAATTCCCCTTACTCATTTCACAAACGGCTTTAAAAAACACTCAAAATCCCAATCTGGCATGTACTTCGCTCCTTTATCAGTGGCCAAAAGATATATTTAATGCTTTACTCACAGGAATATTGCGCAGCTCCTGTACCTCCACTCGAGGACGCCCTTTTTTCTTGCCCTCTGCTTTGTCATTATAGGAGGAACCTGAGAACATATCAACATCAAAAAGCTCGTAAGAGCACTTACATAGTTTTATATTCAAATGTAATGGCTAATGTGATTGAGAGGAGTTGATTTTCATGCACATCTTGTCAGGAAAGTATGGTTGTGTGATCAGCAGTAAGCCACTGTAAGTCAGAGGGCACTCTTGCGTGGTAATTTCAAATCCCTATGCAAAAGAAATCCACAAAATCCTAGTGGTGTGCAGATTGAGGCTTCATAAAACACTGAAACAGTTGAAGCAAATGTGCCGAGGCTTTGAAATGTTTTAAAACCTTTCTTTACAGTGACACCTAGTGGTCATTTTTTAATGTACTGCTTTTAATGTATTGAAACAGTTGGGTAAATTGAGAAATTATACCCTACGTGGTAGAATTAGGGTTTTAAGTGATTCAGTGAGTGTTTCTGACTAACATGCAAAGATAATACGTTAGAATCCAGGGTAATGCGGCTAAAGACCTTTTTCTTAGAATGCTAAATTGCCCATTGTGCTTTGCGTGTATGCGCAAGGAGAATGCTAAGAACTTCCGGTCAGCAGCTGATGCATATAAACAGTCACATTTTGACAGCTTTGAAACGATAGTTTTAATCTATTTTACCTGCTTTTATCATCTTTGAACTAATACTGTTGTCGATCAGCACCACCTGCTGGACTGATATTTAAAAAAAATGCAATCTAATGCTGTGTTCACACCAAACGTGGAACGCGCGGATATTCGCGCGTAAATTGCCGCGTGAACATTTGAGTTTACTCGCTTCATTCGAGCGTCAAACCCCGCTTCATTCGCGTGTGAAATCCGCTTCATTCGTGTGTCAAAGTCACTTCAGAACAGACGCGGATTCGCGTGATGGGCAGGGCTTCTGTCTGCCCGGTGACAGTAGCTTCGTTGCTAAAAGGCTAACATGAATTTTATGAAGAAAATAACAATGTTTATGTACTTTATAAAGGCTGAAAAACAGCGTTGATACGTTTAGGACCGTGTCTGAGTCCACTACATGCTTTCAGAGGTGCATCCAGCTGTGTGAGCTCATAAACTCCTCCAGAAACTGAATCTGGATCACGGAGGCTTTCAACGGTGCTTCTGACTGAGCCAAGCCCAGTTTGATGACTTGTTGTCGGTGTCGCCAGGAGGATTTCCCCCGGGACACCATCAACAGGTTCTACATCATAATCACGCCCCACAAGAGAAAGCTTCTGATTGGTTAACGCGGCGCGAATTTCTGCTGAAGTTCAGATTTTCGAACTCGAGAGATTCATGCGAAATGCGCGTTAAGCGTGTCAAACGCACAAAACGCTCAATTCGCTCCGCGCCATTCGCGCGTATCGCACTGCAGGATGTCTATTCGCGCGTTTGCATTGACTTAACATGTAAATCACTCACCCTTGACGCGCGTTCCGTGTCTGTTGTGAACGCAGCATGATAGGATGGAAAACAACTGCTGTGAGGCAATTTCCCCTCACAGCAGTCAGACGACATCTTCTGCCGTTTAAATAAAGCCTTGTCATCGCTAAAGTCAACATTTCTTTCTTTCAAATATTTAACCAACCCAAACAAATGTAGTTCACCAAAATGTTTGGCAAACACACATAGCCTACTGTACTGTCAGTAGGCCACTAACACACTGATTTAATGAGTGTGACAAAGTAAAAATAAGGTGACATTTTGAAATGACAGAAAAACACAAACCATGGTAGATACAACAAACTAAATGAAATATAAACAGCTCGTGATTAGAATGAACAGCAAATTAGCCAGCAGAGTATCAGTAACAGACTTTTATTGGTCATTTTTGTAAATTGCATGACTTACATAACAGTTAAGTTTCATGCCAGTAATCTGGTGTGCTCTATAATACAGTGAAGTATTGTGTGTGTGTGTGTGTGTGTGTGTGTGTGTGTGTGTGTGTGTGTGTGTGTGTGTGTGTGTGTGTGTGTGTGTGTGTGTGTGTGTGTGTGCGTGTGTTTGTGTGTGTGTGTGCACAGTGTTCAGGCGGCAGAAACGTGAACTAGGAGAACGTTTTTCTCTCGAGCGTGAACCACATCTGACAGATTAACAGCTTTAACACACACTTTTTAAAGTTGTGTGTCACAAAAACACTCTGTAATCCATTAAAAACGATTTTGTAACCCATTTTTGGAGTGTAAATTACCAGTTGTGATTGCTGTAAACGGAAGTTCTTAGACATTCTACCAGAAGATGCCGGTTGATATGACGCCCTCTATGCAGCAGCCTAGAAAAAGGTCTATAGATATTAGTTTTTAAATGCTATGTTCTTGTAGTGGTTTTGTTTTAACATTGGTCAGACATCTGAATGAACACTTTGTCAATATGTTTTGTTTCGGTTTAAAAGATTTACATTATTAAAATACATATCAAGTTTTTTTCCAGTCCTATCACTCAAACGCAGATTCGCCAGGTCTTGAAATGCTACTGAAAGGACCAATGCTTTGAATCGCATTAGTCACGTGACCTTAGTCTTTCAAACCATTTTAGTCACATGACCTGGGTGCAGCGGAGTAAAGTAACTAATTACAAATACTCAAATTATTGTAATTGAGCAGTTTTTCTAATGAATTATAATTTGCCAAGTACTGTAGTTTTAAAGTTGTGTACTTTTACTTTGCCTTGAATACATTTTTAGTACAGTATATGTACTTTTACTGCATTACTTTCCTTTAACCTGCAGTCACTACTTAATTTTTTCTTGTCTATGTGGATTATAAAAATCTGTCCTGAGATTCCTATCCAATCAAATCGCACATAGAAGGTAAGTCGCATCATAATGAACTACCTCAAGACATGGGCACTTTATAATATCAGCCGTTTGAAGGCATTAAAAGGGTCCAAAAAGATGTCTAAAATCTTTACAAGCATTGACCTAGAGACCGTTTAGATGCATGTTACTTATAAGAAGATGACGGATGTTTACTGTATGATGACCGAAATGACTCAACAGGCACAAGATGTCAACATGAGGTCAGATTGACTTTGTACCCTAACATCATGGATGTTGCCTTTTGTTTGGAAATGAAAATCCCACTGACGTCAGAACTCAACGTCAGGTCAATGCCAATGTTAAATGTCGAACCTAAAACCAACCAAATATCAACATCAGATGATGATGTTACAGTTTGAAGTTGAGTGGACGTTACCGCTATGACGTCTATCAGAATGTTGGATTTTAGTTGCCTTACCTGAAGAATAAATGTCAGTGTTTGAAGTCAATATGACTTTGGTTTAAGATGTTGGCTTGACGTAAGATTTTGGACCGTTTCTAAGAACCTAAAATCAACCAAATATTTGTTTCGATTGGTGTAGGGGAAAAGGAGCGAGGACTTAGGTGCAGTAAAAAAATGGGTATTTATTAATAATAAAATAAAATAAAAGGCAAAACAAACTACCACGAGGGGAACAACATTAATAAAACAAATAAACAATCTAAACAAACTAGACTGGGCAGGTTGGCAGGAATCAGGACTGGAGGGCAGGCTGGCAGGAATCAAGACTGGAGGACAGGACAAGGCAGGAAATGACAACGAACTGGCACAGGACAGCAGATAATTAACTGAGAAAACTCGAGTCGAGCATAACAGGACAGGACAAGACAGAGCTAGTGTCTGGACTCTGCCACCAAAGCAAGAATTTACAAGACCAGAGTGGCAGAACCCTGCACAATATCAATGTCATTTGACATCATTATTGGTCATCGAAATAACGTGGTCTTTAGACGCTGGCTAGACCTTGAGTTTTGGTCACCTGACATCACAACATAAATCTAACCTAATATTAATGTCTTATGATGTTGTGCGCCTGTTGGGCAATAACTAGATGCACTACAGAATGTTACGTTTACACACATCAACAAATTACATGTAAATGTATCATCTTTTTACAGCACATTACTCACTACTCACTACTCTTGAGTACTTTTAAAAGGGCTACTTTTCCTACTTTGTGTAATATTTACAACATATACTTTTACTCCACTTACACTACATTTTTAGGTAAGTAATGGTACTTTTACTTGAGTATGATTTTTCAGTACTCTTTCCACCATTGCCTGGGTGTTTCAATGGCCTTAGTCACGTGACCAGGGTGTTTTGGGTTATGCTTTGATGCAGTGTTTCGAAACACTTGCAGTTTGGGACCTCGACACTTTTTCATAACATCAGTTTCGCGTCAATCATCCCTAGAAAATCCATATAGCGTTATTTAACAAACCAAACCCTGCTATCAATGATTTAGTGTGACTAACTAACACATGATTATAGAATCATCTCACAGAAGGATTTATTTCAAAAACACGACTGAAATTATGAGCTAATTTTGGAGTTGCAACATATTATTATATGGGGCATCAAAAGTAGCAGCATGTAGTTCACAGATATGCTAAGCAAACAGCTGTCATTGTCACAGAATGATAATCTCAATTTCATTATTAAAGGATGCGATTGATTTTGAATTTGAACATGATTTTGCGAGCTAATCAGTTAACTACAACTCTGTCGAGTAAACACTGCTCCATCTGAAAGCATGTGCTGGAGGTTTACTAGAACCGGCTTTACTGACAAAATATGAATGAAAATTGCCTTTGATTTATTGGTTTCAGGCGACACAGTGGCTCAATGGTTAGTACTTTCGCCTCACAGCAAGAAGGCCACTGGTTCGAGTTTTGGATGGGCCAGTTGGCATTTCTGTGTGGAGTTTGCATGTTCTCCCCGTGTTGGTATGGGTTTCCTCCAGGTGCTCTGGTTTTCCAAAAAGTCCAAAAACATGTGCTATAACTGAATTATGTAAACAAAATTGGCCATAATGGGTGAGGCCCAATTCCAATTCTTAGCCCTTTCCCTTTACACCTACCTCTCGTTTTGCGCATGCCCGTGAAGGGGTAGTGGTGTCCCAATTATCTTTAGCTTGAAGGCGTAGGGCTAAGGGCAAGGGGTATACACCCCTTAAAATGAAGATTTTTCAGGACCACACTCA